GACCCCCCCGATAAGTTACAACTCCCCTCATAGACCAAGAGGCACACACTGCGTTGGCGCGTTTTCGTTCATGTGCGCACGCTTCATGCACATGCATAGATAGTTCTGGCACTGTTTGTGAACAAAAAGTAAATCCGACCAAGCAAAGGCCCAAAGCAAGCAACCGCATAGCAAATCAAAGGCCGTCACCCGCCACTGCAAACCACAGCACACTAGGACTCTACCGGTTCATCATGTACCGGCCCCTGCTGCTGCTGTCCAGCCACTTCCTCAGTGCGTCACGGAACGGGAACGTGCCCAGGTCGAACAGGTCCTGGGTAAACATCCGCACACACAATGCTAGGTGCTCGTCCAGGCGGTTGCGGGTGGGGTCCTGCAAGGAACGGTGCGGTCTGGCTGAGCCTTGCTGACACCCCATTGTGCACGCCTGTCATCACGCTTGCACCGTCAGTGCTGACCGCTACGAGCTTGCGCGCCAAATCCTGCTCCCCGAGGTCGCCCTCCACGTTCAGTGTATCCAGCACCAACTGCGTGATGTTCTCAGCGTCAGGTGCGCCCCGTACATGCGCCAACTGCGGGGATGCAGGGATACTTAAAGTGGACACAAGTTCAGAAGATAGGAACTTGTGAGGAATGATGTTACAACTTGTGGAGAACAAGACAAATGCGGCAAACCCCCAGTCCCGGCAGCCTGTCCACCCGTTAAAACTCACATCGATAAGGAGCGGCAACCGGCTCCACTGCGCATCCATGACGTACACGTGCAGGGAGAGGCGCGAATTCTTGTCGATGCCCACGCACTCGTCCATGCTCAGCGAAATGAATCGCGCGCTCCGCACAAGCTCCCGGACCTTGTCCATCAGTACCCCGTCAAGCGCCTCAGCGAGGTTCCAGGCTGAGAAGCCGCTCCAGTGTGAGCTGCTTATGTGTGGGACGGACAGCGCCTCGAACGCCTCCTTAGAAGCCATGAAGTCCGTGATGGGCCGCCCCCGGGTAAGCTGCCAGAAGAGCTGGATGAGCTGCTGGTGCTTGGCCTTCTCTGCCACCGTGTTGCCCGGGGTGTAGAGCTGTGGCAGGGTCGCGTTCCGCTGCTGCTGGAGTGCCAGGTGCGCCTTCTGGCTCTGTTGATGCTCCACTGACGTCTTGTGCACTTCAGACGTCATGTGCTTGTCGAGGGTAGCTGCCCGGCACATGATCAGGTAGTCGCTCTTCTTCATCAACGTGCAGGGGATGCAGCGCACTTGGTCGTGCACTTCTCCGGCGTCCACGTCAGCATGCACAGGCTGGGCCCAGGGATACCTGGCGGCCCAGGCAATCTGCCATCTGTGGGGATTTTCCTTCTGCTTGTCCCGCCATGCACCGTCGCTCATGCCCTTGCGGATGCGCTGTGTCTGAGCCCGCTTGGCACTGCGAGCGCTCGGGTTGGGCGCCTCGCTGCATTCGTTGTTGTCAAGCTGATTGGGTGACAGCTTGCGCTTATGCTGATCACAACCGCCATGGAAGGCAGGGGTAATGGCGCCCGTGTCATCGGTCGCCGCTGGCAGCAACATTGCCGATGCATTACCGACAACAGCACCGCCGTCCCAAACGCCTTTATCAGGAAAAATTTCAGACTTATCTTGCTGTTTTTGTGTTTGTTCGGCGTTCAAGTCGTTGCCTTTTGCGTGTTTGTCTATGGAAGGACCGGTCATACATTCTGCTATGCCGCGTTGACTCACGGGCTTGACCTTCTTACGGGCCCTCATATCTATTTTATGATCGATAATACTAAATTCTGCACACTACGGAGCAATCTGGCAGCAATGGACGTTTTTGGCTGAAGGAATGAAAATGTACGGATCGGCCTCACTTTGTTCCTTATTTCCAAAGGCCAAAAAGGCTATTTATTCCTAAAAAGTAATATATTACTTAAAAAAAAACACTGCCTGCTCCCCGGCGCGCGGCTGCGGCTGCTGTTGCACCTGATCAGACATGTCGAGATGCTGTACACTCCAGCAAGGAGGGGGAGGGGCGGGGGGCGCGCACACACAGTGATAGGGTTCCATCACACGGAAGGTCTCTCTTATACACCTTTGCTTTGGGCCTTTCAGGGCCCCGCGCGCAGCACCGGCTCGGCAGGCAGTGTGCACAGCAGGGCGTTGCCTCTCACAGTACCTGTGTTGCCGGAGCCTCACCGTACAGGTGCCGCACGATGATGTGGTGCGCCAGCTTGAACTCGTTCTCGTCGAGCTCGGCGCTGTCGATCAGGGCGATCGCATGTGCTCGCGCGACGACTGTTGCACCCGAAGAGCCGCTGCTGGCGCTCTGCTCGGCCAGCCACGCCAACTGCACGGCTGTGTCGTCGCTCAGCCGTGTCGCCGTCGGTGCCAGCTCTGCGGGCAGCGCGCAGGTGAGCGCGTCGCGGGCATCACGGGCGACGGCGCGCAAGTCAGCCTGGTTCAGCGCGTGCAGGCGCGCCACCATGTACATGCGGCTGCAGGGGCCCGCTGTCGGCGTGGGAGGGGGACGGCTGGGCGCGCGCGCAGCGGAGGCCGCGCAGGCAGCTGCGGCTGACAGTGGCCACCCGCGTGGAAACATCTCACCTGTGTGCGTGCGTGCGTGCGTGCGTGTGTGTGTGTGCGTGCGTGCGTGTGTGTGTGTGTGTGTGTGTGTGTGTGCGTGTGTGTGTGTTTGTGTGCGTGTGTGTGTGTGTGTTTGTGTGCGTGTGTGTGTGTGTGTATGTGTATGTGTGTGTGCGTTGCCGCGTGTACTGTGCCCAAAGCCTTATGCTCCGACCATCGACCTGTGGGTTTATCTTATCAACCCCGAAAAGGAGAACCTTGAAGGATTTTCAAAGTCAATCGTGACAGGAACCTTTGCAGTGTCATTACACGTTGATACCCTCTGCTGGAAGCCAGCCCTGTAATACCCCCACCCCCCACCCCCGCGTAAGCTGCACCATGTATCTACACGACCGCCGCAAAACCCTGCTGCACACGTCTATGGCTTGCTCCACAGGTCTCAGGACGATACTGTGCTCATCCTCCAAGTCGCACATACCACACTGTCGCAAAATGCGGCTGCGGTGGTGGTCGTATATCACTGTTGCCGCGGTGGAGTGTATTTGTTGGCATACACGCAAGGGAGGAGGCGGAAGACGAGGAGGCGGAGGACAACGAGGAGCACGTGGAGCGAGTACGGCAAGCGCAAACCGAAACGCGCCCCAAAGGCTTTTCCGACTTCTTTTCAGCGTCTCGCCAGCGTTTCGGAACTGTGTTTGCTGTGCCGGTCATCCCGGCGATTGTCGCACCTTTCTGGCTGGAGTTGGTCGCGGCTCCTCTGCCGTTCTCGGAGTTGGTCGCGGCTCCTCTGCCGTTCTCGGAGTTGGTCGCGGCTCCTCTGCCGTTCTCGGAGTTGGTCGCGGCTCCTCTGCCGTTCTCGGAGTTGGTCGCGGCTCCTCTGCCGTTCTCGGAGTTGGTCGCGGCTCCTCTGCCATCCGTAGCTTCTTCTTTCGAGGTCATCCATCGATGCACCATCATTGTCACCCAGCACTGCTGTGAGCAGCGAGATCGTGCGCCGCCCAGCTCCCTATCACCCTATATCCCTCCCGTTCACCCTCGCCTGTTAGCCCCTTCCCGCCACATTTCCGTTCCCTATCACTTGTTGCCACTAGGGGCACTTTTACCTTGAACCATCGGAAGGATTTTCAACCCTAACAAGTTACAAGTTCCACACTTGCGTGCGGAACCCGCACTTGCGTGCGGGTGTGTCCGTAAAAGCTGGGGGTCCATGGATGTTATATTAGTAGTATTGATGCAGGTACACAAGTGGTGCTCGGTGCCATAACCATGCCCACACCCAGCCTGGCTACCGGCGTGTAGCCTGTTGCCCTCACAGTAATTGATAAGTCGCCTCCCGATGATATTGCGTAATGTTTGCATAGTGGGCCCCCAACCGCAATGCCCCGATAACTGTCGCAGCAGGACGCGTCCCCCCCTTTTTGTATACGGGGAAAAGGGTGCTAGTCGTGAATAATCAGCTCGCGGATATTCAGCTCCGTATATGCGGTTGCATAGCACCGTTAAGTAAGGCGCCAACACAAACACGGGCCGCTGCCCTTCACTCTCCCTGATAGCGTACCTATAATACTCGGCCGGGGTTCCCTCCAGGCCCACGGACAGGCTATGTTGCGCATAGCCTTGAGACCGCTAACAATTTCGCCCTCTGTTTAATCCTTATAAGCCAAGCAACTAATTCCTGTCGGTGCATCACCCGGTCCTCATCCTGCCATTTAAACTGGATACCCTCGTTGCAGCCTTGCCTCGCGTTTCCCGCACCATTAAGCACCTTGGAAAAATGCTCGGTAAAAGCATTAATATCTGAGATCCAGCAAGGAGGTGGTTTTCCCCCACGCTGCCATGTCCACAAGCCGCGTGGGTTGGACAGGGTGGCCTTAATCCTCCTCCGCATATTTTCCAATTCGGTCTCCTGAATAGCTGCCTTCCTAGTAGCCTTCTTAAAGACACGGTGCTTGGCCGTCCAGGTAGCCCTATGAATGTCCGGCAGCTTGCCCGAGGCGGAGTCCCTGATCTCCTTACGGAAACTCATCATATCATTCCGCACGGCGGCACAGTCCTCGTTCCACCAGTCACGCTTCACAAAATTCACCTTTCCCCATGCGACGCCGAACATCTCCCTAGCACACGTCCCGATTAGGGTGCGCAAGTCATTCATGCTTTCATCACAAGAGGCCCCTTCTCCTTGAGTTATCCTGTCCTCCCCACCTTACACACACACAGACACACGCACGCACACACAAGCACCCTCTCTCTTCCCAACGCATCCACCCACCTTGTTCACAGCCACCCTTCGCCCCTTCTTCCCCCCAAGCACACACACACACACACAGGTACATGAGCGTCTACTCATGTACCTGTAACACGGCTCGTTCCACAGGCTGCCGTACCCCCATGATGCGGCAGTGCAGAGCGTCGCAAACTTGGTTGGTTTACATCGCAGTGAACAGGATGCGGAGACAGTAGAGCTCCTTGGCCAGTAGAGCTCTTTGGTCAACCGTAATCTATGGAAGTTGCCATCATAGCGTAACTGCGCGACAAAGCATACGTTTTTCAATTATGCTTTGCACCATCAACATTGCTGACACGAAGAGGAAGGTCTTTGGCCCAAACAACAAATCTTTCCTGAGAATGAATTCACACAGCGAAAGTGCTCGAATGATCGAGGAGGGATCGTGGCCAGCTCTGCAATGTGAAATTTAAAGCCGAGAGCGTCTCGGTGCGTGCGAGCACCGTTGTTTCACGTGAAGTAAAGTTGTGTTTCAGCTATTTTCGGTATTATCTGTTGCTTCTGTTAACTGAAATTGTGTTACCCGTTTGAGAATTATTTTGGTAACTGGGTTGTAGCCGTATGTCCATGTCACGGAACCAAGGGTCATTTGCATTTCACTCCACAGACTCCAGACAGCGTTTACAAACCTATCTAACCAACACTTGGAGCTCTAAATATCTCATCGCATCTCTTCCTTTCGCTTTCATGCTTTATGCGTGCGTCCAGTTACACGCGGCCGGCGGCGTTTGTGAAGTAGTAGGCTGCTGCATGCTGAACCACCGAACAGCCAGCAGCGCTTTGTCTGGCCCTCCGCTTTCCGGACACCATCACACAGAATACCATATTACCATCATATTTGAATTGGATGGGAGCGGCGCTATGTCGTTGCGTCTCGCGCGGCGCCCCAAGCAATGCCGCTCGCCCCGATATTGCCGCCAGCACCGCAACTTTTGCCAGCAGCAAGCCAAATCACATCTGCGATCCTCCTTAGCAACAGCAGCAGCTCGAGCTCGCACCGACTGCGGACGAGTCCGAGGCACAGCGCATTGCTGCCCCATGGGTCCTTCCAGCGCACCTCAACGTCACTTCGGACCTTTCGGCCACCAACGCGCAGCACCTTTGCCAGCTTCCCGCCATTCGCGAAGATTCGTCATCGTCCGCAGCTGTCGCTGCCGCGACCGACTCCCTTAGCCTTAGAGCTGCAACGGCAGGCCTTAGCGCAGCAGCAGCAGCAGCAGCAGGAGCTATTAGTCATTAGGAACAGGCCCCAGTTCAAGCATTCCAACGCGAAGCCGTCGAGCAGAGGCAAGTACGGCCAAGGGACCTGCCGCCGACGGCACCGCTGCCGCCGCCGCCGCGTTGCACCTGGCAGGAAGCCGTCGCCGCGAGCAGTATTGGCGCCACCGTCAGCCCCTTCGCCGCCACCGCCGGCGCCGCCACTGCCGTACCAGCCTCCGTACCATCTGCCACCGGGGGAGTTCCCGGGGTGTTGGGGCGCCTGCGACCCCGCACCCCGCGCGCGTTCCTGCTCGCCGACTTACCGCGGCAAACAACAACAACAACAACAACAACAACAGCATCAGCAACCACGCTGCAGCAGCGGCACTAAACGCCGCCGGTTACGGATTCGTCCACGCCAAGATCCGGTTCCGTCGGCAATGCACAGGTCAGCTACAGCTCCGCCGGCGGCGCCGCTACAGGTTCGGGACGGTCGGCGATGGAGTACCAAGTCATGACGTCAGCGCTGCCGCCGCCGTCGCCACGCCGCCGCCGCCACGACGGCGACGGCGGTGGCCGCGGGCTCAGAGGGCATCGCGGGGTTTACAGCACACGCGGACGATAACACGATACGGCAGGTGGGGGCTGGAAGGGAGGTGGTCGATTGCTGCGGGGTGTGTGGGGGGCCCAGTAAGTGGGGGTTGGGGGGTGGGGGTAGTCGGGGGGAGGGGGAGGGGGAGGGGATGATGGTGCCACCGGCGCTGAGAGCGGCGCTGCGACAGGCCAAGCTTCGATCACGCTGCTCGCAGTCCGTTTCGCAATTCGATTCTCAGTCGCAGCTACAGCTCTCGCAGCAGCAGGAACGGACCCGTGGGTCGTTTCTGCTACAGCCCAACACGCTCGTGTCTTCCTCTGTAGCGTCGTCCGCCGCAACCTCGGCTGTAGTCGTCACCATTGGCACCAATGTGCCGTCAGCTGGAGTGAATTCCGGGCTACAGTCGCAACAGCCGCCGCCGCCGCCGCCGCCGTCGCGGGCCAGCCTGGCGGCGGCGCTGGCGCACACAGGCGACGGCTCGCTCAGCGCCGCATCCTGGCTACAGCCACCACCGCCGGTGACGCCGCCGCCACCGTCGCGAAACAGCGTCCCGCAGCAGCAGCGGCCGGAGCAGCAGCAGATGTTGACTCAACAGCTATCCGAGTCGTACGGATCTGAATATGTCGTATCCACGTTGCAAAACATGTACGGCGGATCTACAGGGCTGAGGCCGCAGCTGCAAGCCGGGAAAGGTCGATGCCGACGCCGACGCCGACGCCGCCGACGATGACGACGACGCAGCAGCAGAGGCAGGCGGAGGTGTTGGCGGCGACGGCGAAAGCGGCGGCTGAGAGGCACCAAGGTCCGACGTCAGCGGAGGTGGCGGCGGCGTTGTGGCGTACCTGTCGGGAGGTACTGGCGGCGGTGGCGGAGGCGGTGGCGGCGGTGGCGGCGGCGGAGAGCGGCTACCGGGTGCTGCTACAGCTGGCAGCCGCCTGGCCCCCGCGCGCGCGCCGGTGATTCCTGTGCAACCACAGCAGCGAAGTGGCTCGCCGCAGCCGCCGCCGTCGCCGTCGCCGCAGCTGCCGTCGTCGCCGCCGCCGCCGCAGCAGCAGCAGCCACCGCCATCACAGGTCGAACCAGGAGGGGGAGGAGGGCGGCCTGGCGTATCCGGCAGTCGTACGACACCGCTGCTGTTGCCGTCGCTGGAGAAGTCGCCAAGTCGCCGAAAAGGTTCACAGCTGGCGGTGGCGGCACGTCCTCACTGTACGGCGGCGCCCGTGTAGCCACGGCGGCGGCGCCTTCCGCCGCTGATCGCGCTACTTGGGCGCTACAGGGTGGTGGCGGCAGCCGTCTCAATGACGTGCGTGGCGTGCTGCGTGATGGAAAGGATGGTATCGGAACGGGATGCCGTGATGTCCGGGAAGCCGAGCCGGAGAGGGTGTCTCTGTCTCCTGGGCTTCGACTCCGCCTCCGCCAGGATCTGGGCACGGAGGCCGCAGCGGCAGCGGAGGCGCGAGGCGGCGGAGATGATGAAGGCTCGGAGAAGGGCATTACCCTTGGCGGCGGCGACGGAGGCGACGGAGATGATGAAGACGACGGAGGCAGTGGCGGCGCCGAAGAGGAAGTGGAGCCGAGTGCTGAAGCTCCCGCCGCCGCCGCCGCCGCCGCCGCCGCCACTGCCTCAGCCGCCGCCACGGCTCCCACAACACCCGCCAGTGCGTTCCGCAGCGGCAACCAGTCGGGCAAGTCGTTGGGCGGCGCTGGCAAAGGTAACAAGTTCCGTGAGAAGTACGGCACCATGGCGGCAGCCATGGGGCTTTGTACGGCACCTGATCGCAGCAGCCGCCCCGCGCAGACGGCACCAGCGACCCAATGTCAGCCCGGTTGCCGTCACCCATGCGGCCCAGAGGGGATTTCGGTAGTTACGGCAGCGGCGGCGGCGGCGGCGGCGGCTTGGCCAGCGGCGGCAGCTTGAGCGAGGGGGCTTTCGGCAGCGGCATGATCGTCCTTGGCGGCAGTGGCGACTCGGCGGAGATGTCAAAGCTGCCGCCAGTGTCGGAAATCCCTATGCCGTACTCGATGTTGGGAACGTACGGCTCCGGCGTTGGCAGTATGCGAGGCTGGCTGGTATGCCCTGTCGTGGAGGAAGACGGAGAGGGAGAGGGAGAGGAAGCAGGCGACGCGCCGCCACCACCGCCGCCGCCGCTGGCGTCTCAGCAGCAGCGGCATCAGACGACACCGCAACAGACGCGATCCGGCAGCGGCGGCGGCGGAGCCGCCGCCAATGTCACGGTTCCCCAATTTGGGTCGCGTGTGTCGTCCGTTGTTCACATTTCCGTACTGAACTGCATGCCTGTTTACCCGCCGCCGCCCCTCCATAACTCCAATCCTTTGCTCGTCTTCCCCCCCTCCCTCTCTCCCTCCCCCGCAGCTCCCTTCAGCATGTGGTCGGGTGCGGCCGTCTCCACCCTCTCCGCCTTCTCACAAACCGTGAGGTCGCTTCCAAGCTGCCATCCAAGTCCTCACGGCGCCGCCAGGGCCCAACACCCGCCCGCCTTGTCGGGCGGCGGCGGCGGCGGCGGATCTCACAGGCAGTTGCTGACGTCAATGTCATCGATCTCGTCCACTGCTACCGCCGCCCCCTCTCCCGCCGCCGTCGCCACGCAGTCGCCGCCAGCGCCGCCGACAACTCCCGTACAGCTATCACCGCCGACAGACGCTGCGGCGGAAGGCGTTACAGCGAGCGGCGATGTACGGGACGGATGCGGCGTCAATCGGGTGCCGCAGCGGCCCTCAGACATCGCGGAGCCGCCGCCGCCGCCGCCGCCGCCATCGGGCCTGGCGCCGGTAGGTGCGGCGGTAATGGCGGCGGCAGCCAGACCAACGAACCAGCTGCCGTACGCACCGGTCGCGACGCAGGTTGAAGCTCCACCCCGGGGGCTTGTCGAAGGCCTTGCGCACCCAGCAAACGTAAGCGGCATTGGCGGCGACAGTATCACATCGCGACGAACGACAGACGGTGTCACAGCCCTGGATGCTGATGCCGTACCGCAGATTCCCAGCACAGGCAGCGGGTACGATGTCTGCGCCCCTGTTTATGTGCCGTACGGTCGAGAGATGGGGCTCAGGAGAGATGGTGCAAGAAGCGCCATTGTCGTCGGCGGCAGTAGCGGTGTCAGTGCAGGCGGCAGCGACGGCGGCGGTGGCGTTGGCAGTGGCACTCTGGGTAATAGGACGCTGTCGTGGGCCTTACGCACAGCGCCAGCGGGGTGGGATTCCGCGTTTTCCCATACGGGGTCGTTTCCCGATGGCGGCACCCGCCGCCGCCGCCGCCGCCATCGCCTGGAAACCATATCGCGGACTTGGATGTAGCGCCCATGGGATGTCCTCCATCCTTGCGGGCTGATCAACTTCCTCAGCCTAAGACCTGCATTTTGCTGTAACTGAAGCCCACTTAGCTGACTGCGGGTCTCTATTGTATAGTTCGGACCATTGTTGTTGACGTTGGCGCGGTCCTGGTCTCCTTTGGTCGTAGCTATAGTTGAGGGACCAGAGATGCAGGCAGGGAGTGACAACGCAGGAAAAATTCTTTGTATTTGCGAATCGCTGAGGTACGACTCTCGGCACGGGACGAATGCTGAAAGAGCAGTGAGGGCACGAGTATCACGTACTCATGGAGCGGGCCCTCTTACGATTTACAACACAATAGATTCCGTGCTTCAGTAAATGGAAAGGTTGAACTGGTAGCGAATGCCGTTCAGTTCGTTCAACTATGGCCGCGGCTTGTATCAGTGTGATACCGAAGTCGGGTTTACTTATGGACGGACTGCTGCGGCTGCACATTAGGGAACTCAGCCCCCTAGCGCAACAGATAAAGGAAGAGCACTTTTCACATAGATAATGCTTGCCCAACCAACCAACCAACACAACAGCAAACTTGCCCAACCAACCAACCAACACAACAGCAAACTTGCCCAACCAACCAACATAACTGCAACCAGACCCAACCGCTCTGAACCGCGCTGAATGGATGAGATAATCTGCTTTTACATTTCTTACTACAAGGAGATATTAGCTCAGTTCCTTCAGGTCCTTGGGAACCATGCCGAGATTATAATTATAGTTTTCCTGGAAAAATGGAAAATAATAGCTAATAGCTAATGAGACAAATTTTGCTTATTTGAGAATCTCGGTTTGTTTCTTGTCCTTAGTTTGGCCAGCAGGATACTATACCGTTATGATGATACCGTTTAGGAAAGGGCCAGGGCAGTGTGCCTTTCATCTGTGCCCGGCAAGCAGACACAGCAGATAGATGTTGCCATTCGCACTTCGTAAAAATACTGTACTACGTTGCCGCTGAGTTTCCTCTATCTGCAGGCGAAAGAATAATGTGCCAATATGATGCCAACAACTTGAAGTGGTTCGTTTCGGGAAGAGAGGTGTCCCCTAACCACCCGACCGGGGTTCGTTCTTACTTTGTCGTTTTATTGCTTCTGCCATAATGCCCTATAATGTAGTGCAGCAGTACTGCTTTGCTACAGCCCCTCGACCCTCCATCGGTCTATCTTCCTAAAACCCTGACACCTCTCCTTGCAACCGAAAAAATGACAACGAAAACAAACCGTGCCGTACCATGCAACGGTAGGTGCACCAAATTATCCTCTCTCCATCTCTTTCACGTCCCCAAGGTTTCACCTCCCCCCCCCTCCACACACACATCACACGCATCCAAGTCCCCCAGTCCCTCCCAACACCGCAACTGGCGGCACAGGGCAGGGCTCTATCTCGGCCCTCCACTGAGAATGATTTTGTACGGTCTTCCATGCCGTGCATGGGGTACAGCATGTGACCACAACACATTCGAAAAAACTCAAATAGCGTTTTCAACACTGATCGGGCAACAAATGCATACACAGACAGATATACATGCATACATACATACGCACCCCCCTATTCCCTCTTTCCAACACAATGTTTTCTGGCATTACCCGGGACGGATACGGCCGCTGGCCCGTAACCACAGCACACACACCTCCTTCTCGTTCCTTCAACGTGACCCAGACACACTGAACACATTTGACACAAACCACTTCTTTCTCGCAGCTATTGAACAATTGAAACACAAGAAGAGCGATAGGTAGGGACACGGGCAGGATAGGAAATAGGACCCCGTCAACAGTAAAAGAAGATTGGCCGCATTTCACTAATTCCTCCTCCGCGCCAACCCCCCCAGGGCACTATCTCTCGTCATGCAGCCAATCACTCCCCCTCCCCGCCTTCTCCCTCCTCCCAACCAACAGCCTTCGTCCCATTAGTCCTTCCACGCAACTAACTCCAAATCCACAGCGATACCGGCGATCATGTACTGCCCACCGAACCAACCAACCAACCAACCAAACCAAACCAAACACGGCGATACGACTCATCCTCCGCCTCTGCCATCATCAATCCACCACCACCACCACCACCGCCGCCACCACCGCCATCGACTTTCCCAGATGCCACTAAAGAGGGAGGGAGAGAGGGGGGGAGGGGGTTGGCGCTCTTTCCCTCCCCCCCCCATCCAGCCAGCAGAACGCACAGAGCGGTACAACAATACGTAGACACATACGTAAACACTGCACTCTCCCGTCTTCCCAACACCGACATCTACACACCTCAACACAAAAAAGCATAAAAGGCAATGACACCCTAACTGATGTGACCTGATTTTACCCGCCTGAACCACTAACCGCCTGAACCACTAACCGCCTGAATCACTAACCTGGTCTGACCTCTGAACCAATCTCGTGGGCAAACCTCTGTTTCGACCTGGAAACAGCGACCTATAACCCAACTACGTTTCTGCTTGCGGTCCTCCTTCATCGTTTCTGTAGCACACCCCTTACAACAACCTTAGGTCCCCACCCAGGCGAAGGCCGATGTGGCTCACCGGCCCGCAAAAAGCAAAAACACATGAACACACACACACACACACACACTCCAAACCCTAAAACATACATAAGGCAGGACAACCTGCCGTAACCCATGCGACGCACCCTTACCAACCCACCTTCTTCAAGCGGGGATAGACGTCTACCCCCATCCAAGCTGACATAAGTACATACACACAAGGAGGCAACACGAGCAAAACCCCACCCCCTATTGGACATCTGCGGGGTAATCTGACCCCGTGTGACCCCCCGACCAGTTTCCCCCCCCCCCC